GCACGTTCCCTGCGCCCGCCCGCCGGTCACGGGTGGGGCAGCGTTGGCATACCTGCGCAGCAGGGCCTGAGCAGGGCACCAGCCTGTGTCCCCACTCCTCGCTGCTTCGTGCCGGGCCGCCGGTTCCCATGGAGTGAGCGTGCTGGTGTTCCCGAGGTTTAACTCAGTGCTAATGGGGCTGGGCACACTTCGCTTATCAGACTGTCGTCTGTCCTGCTCATTTTTGGCAAGGAAAGTTACTGTTTTTCCTATTTTAAAATTGTTTTTAAGGGTGGTTTATTAACTTTAATGATGAAAGTTGTCAGAAGAATATTCTCTTGAAATTTATTTTTTCTCGGAAAGTGGAAAATCCGAACCCTCTCAGGGCCAGCAGATGGTGTGGAGGTTAAGGTGGGTGGATCCCACATGGCCGACTGTGCTGTTCAAATCCTGGACCTGGTGGCTTGAAAAATGCTGGGCATGTGTGCCCCAAATCCTGAGGAAGTGGAGGAGAAGGGATTGTGGCATGGCCCTTCCTCCCGTGTGGGGAGCTGCTTTCTCACGCTCTGTCTCCATCAGCCTCCGAAGCTCTTCTGCCAGCACATGGCCCTGTCGCACATTTAAAAGGAACAAGAAAAGTGAAAAAGACACCCTTCCCCCAGTTAGAAAGAACAGCTTAATCATAGCCATAATGACGTTGGTGTTGGAGATGCATGGACGTTTTTATGATTATTTAGTTGGGACCAGCAGGTGCTGTAGCGGGTGCATCACTGGACTCCCACACGGCCTGTCTCAGTCCAGTGACCATCCACTCCGCCACCTGCTGGCCTTTATGTAACTGTCTCTTAAAATGTTATTGGTGAATAAATTGTCCTATACAACTGAATGAACGAGAAAGTCAGATGAAAACATGAGAGAGCAAGTCAGTGAAATTTGGTATAGAAATGCTTAAGAGATTCATTTATATCTTTTTGTTAATGCTCTCACACGGGGAGAAACATTTCCACCTAGTTCTTGTACGTCTCTGCAGACAATTAAGAATCAGATTTAGGAAGAATATTGTAAGATAAAGACAGCAGCCCAGAGAAGCTGCATGAAAGCAAAGCAGTAATTTAGCAACTTTATTAACTTCTAAGAGTTTTTTGCCTCAGGGCTTGTGTGCTCACCAGAAAGACAGACACAGTGAGAGGGAGAGGGTGAAGTCACCCCCGGGGATGACCAGCCACAACCCCTTCCCCATTCCCAGGGAATGGAGTGCCCTGGGATCTTGGGCACACACGCACACACACCCGGTGTGATTTTCAAGCCCCTGGGTCCAGGCCTCGAACTACAGTCAGCCATGCGGGAGTCCAGCAACGTAACCACTATGCTGTCTGCCGGCCCCAGCGACCTTTCCTTTCCCTCCCTTACGTGGCACCAAGATGTGGGAGGCCAGTATGGAATGTGTCCTGGGGCGGGCCACAGGCCATCCAGGCGTGACCCTGTCACCCTCTTCCAGCTCTGCTGCACAGGATCCTGGTGGAGGACCCCGAGGTGAGGATCACCATCCCAGACATCAGGAAGGACCGGTGGTACAGCAAGCCACTCAAGAGAGGTAGCCGCCGGCTAGGGCTCAGGGTGGAGTGCCCGGGGAGGGACATAGAGACCACCCCGCGTTATGGTCGTGGGAGCCTTGGAAATGCCAGATCTAGGACTGGAGGGGACGTGTGAGGTGAGAGGCGCGGGGCGGTCTTTGGGGAGTAGCGAAGGTCGGCGCCGTGGCAGGGTCTGCTGTCCGTGGGTGTGTCACCTGCAGCTGGCACCGTGCGTGGCACCTCGAAGGCCCTGGGTGCACTTTCCGAGGTAGGGAGTGAGCCAAGAAGGGAGAGTTCTGAGTCGGGGCCCGGTGTGGAGGAGCCAGGAAGGGGTTTGGCTTTAACTGGAGACCACTGGGGAAACTTCGGGGACTTTTAGGGTTTAGACGATCTTTCTTGATGGCCAGAAAGAGGGCCGGAGCGGTGCAGCCCCTGCTCGGTGTCCAGACGCAAGAGGACGGTGTGTGGTGGGGTTGGAGGGAGAGCTGGATCGCAGGGAGCTGACGAGCAGGCTGTGCCAGCTAGACGGGGAGAGTGAGGGGATGCGAGCCGTGCGACCCTCGGTTCTGAACCAGGAGGAGAAGCGTTTGGGCGAGCTTTGATTTTCGACATTCCGAACGCGGGGGGCTAAGTTAAACCTGCCCGGTAATTGCGTGTGTGTAAGAGTGCAGCTCGGGAGAGCACTAAGCTGGAGATATCATTTTCGGTGTTTTCTGCAGACAGGTGGCGATTTCAGCCACGGTGGTAGGTGAGGTTGAGTCCTTGGGACGTTGAGGAGTACCAGCCAGTCTAGGAGAGGCGGGGGGGGGAGGGGGGGGGGCCAGCCCCAGCCAGTCTAGGAGAGGCGGGTGGAGAAGGTGGCGGGCCCAGGCGGGCCTGGGAAGGGTCCCGGGGCCACAGGATGGGCCGTCTGGACACTTGCGGCAGGAGCTGTGGCAGGGAGTGGGGTACATTCTGGAGCCGGGCAGTGGTCAGTGAGCGGGGAGACCCGCAGAGAGAACCCAGGACCAGCGGCCTCTCGGGGCACAGAGGACAGTGGCCGACCAGTCGGAGTGGCTGCTCCCCCTCGTCTTCTCGTTCCGAGTGCAGTCCAGCCGGCCCTGGGAGGGGACCTTTCCTTCCCACACCCTCGTGTCCTGGGTCAGAGTGGGCAGGCGTCACCCTCGGCCCTCGCCGTCCCACTCTCCCCGCACTCCGCCCCTCCGTTTTGACTCCGAGTCACCCCGTCCCTGCCTTGGTCACCTGACCTGGGCCCCCACTCGGAAGCCTCCAGCCCCTCCGTGCCATCACTCGCCGGCTGGGCCTCCGGTGGGCCGTCCTGGTCGATGGCACAGGCTCCGTGGTGACCCGCGACACCTCGCCTCCTCCCTTGTGATGGGGTCTTTACACCCCACTCCGAACACCGGGTCGGTGCTCCAGCCTCCCCTCTGCTGCCCTGACCCCCTTGGACCCACCCGGTGCTCAGAGGCCACCTGTACGGCTGCCCTTCTGCCGTCTCTCACCGCCCTTCCCTCGGGTCTGCAGCCCCGCCTTCCCCGTCTTCCAGCTCCGGCGGCCCCTGTGACAGCTGCACTGACACCTTCAGCCTTCCACCCTTGCCCCCAAGTCACGCTCACTGGGAGAGACCTGGCCCGCGTTTAATTCCTTTTACTTTTTTCTAACTCACTGGAGCGAGGGGAGTGAGAAGGTCCCCCCGACACGTCACGCTGCAGCTCCTGCCCCTCTCCTCCCTCCCGGTGGGCTCTCCAGCACGCACGGCTGCCTGTGTGTTTTCTGAGCCATGGGTGCAGGCCTGGAGCCCCAAGGTCAGCCATGCCGGGGCCAGTGGCTTACCCACCAGGCAGGGCCAGTCCGACGGCCCCTCCCTGCTCCATCCTGGCGCCTGCACAGCAGTTGCAGCTCGAGACAAGGCTCGGATGTGGCCATGCGGAGTCTGGGCCCGCGTCTCGAGGGAGCCCTCGGTGCCGCCACTTTTGCTCTCCTGTCCCCGTGAGGCTTTATACGGTTTCTTTCCCCTTTCCCCGTTTCTGTAGCTATTGCTGTGGTCCTCCTGCCTCGGCCTCCCGGCCAAGACCACAGACACACCTCCATACCCGACTGTCCATCGGTCTGGCTGTGCTGGCCTCTAGGGCAGGCTGGGGACTGAGCCTGGGCTCCTTCCCGTTCTCTCTCGCTGGCGACAGTGCTTCTGTACACTGGGAGCAAGAGCAGCCGCAGGGACCTCGTGCAGGCCCTGCCGTCCCCGCCTGCCATGCCACTGCAGATCCTTGCCTTGTCCCACCCTCCAGCTGCAGGCCGGCTCCCCCAGGGCAGGGTCCACAGCCCTGCTCCTCCCCCCCCTCCAGCTGCAGGCCGGCTCCCCCAGGGCAGGGTCCACAGCCCTGCTCCTCCCCCCCCTCCAGCTGCAGGCCGGCTCCCCCAGGGCAGGGTCCACAGCCCTGCTCCTCCCCCCCCTCCAGCTGCAGGCCGGCTCCCCCAGGGCAGGGTCCACAGCCCTGCTCCTCCCCCCCCTCCAGCTGCAGGCCGGCTCCCCCAGGGCAGGGTCCACAGCCCTGCTCCTCCCCCCCCTCCAGCTGCAGGCCGGCTCCCCCAGGGCAGTGTCCACAGCCCTACTCTTCCCTCACATCCGGTCTGCACGTGCCGTTCAAGCCAGAGTCCGACCTCCGGGGCCCGGCTGCCCCGGTGCCTGTCGGGTGGAACCACAATACCCTGCCAGCATTCAGGTGCCCAGCCCGGCTCCGTGGTCCTGCTTGGACTCGCCCGTGCTGTGCCTGTCCTTGAGAGCAAGTGGCAAGGCTTGCATGTCTGTCCATCTGTCCAAGCTCTGGTCCCCACCCTGCCCTCCAGTCTGCTCACTCCCATTCTGGCTGTACCGGCCTCGTTCCTCTGAGATGCCTTGGGCACACCTAGTCCCGGCGCTGAGGCTCACTGTGGGAGCCTGGAGATGCTTTCCGTGGGACTCAGCTGCTTCGCTCTCGCCTGGTTGGCTGCTGGCGTCCACGCCGTTTCGGCCGTTTTGGCCGTGACGTCCCTGCCCCCCTGCTCAAGGCTGGCCTTTCTCCCTGGCACGCTGCTGTGGCGTACCTGGCTGGGGCATCTAGCGGTCTGACCTACTGGTTTCAGCTTGAGCTCTTGTTGCTTTACCTTGCCTCCTGTTGGTGCAGTGTGAGGTAGGAGAGGTTAAAGGTCCTGTTTGCTCACGCCTAGCGCTAGTAGGTGAGAGGGTCGTAAGTGACAGACTGAGAGCTGGCAGTACCCGTGGTACGCAGTTTGGGAGCAGAATGAGGAGACGAGCCCAGCCGTTGAAAAACAGCAGTGAGTGGCAGGCCATCAGATCCCGAGGGCAGGCAGGCTGGGCTGGAGCGACGGGGCGAGTGGGTTCAGGTGGGAAGGGAGCCGGTGCAGAGGGAGCCGGTGCAGAGGGAGCCGGTGCAGAGGGGGCCGGTGCAGAGGGGGCCGGTGCAGAGGGCGC